AATGTGAGGCAAATAGCATGGTTAAAAAATGTAATATTAATAAATTTAAAGTGCAATAAAGTTAATTTTAGTTAAAATAAACACCAGGTGTTGAGTGCATATGTTAGATTTGGTGATAAGTGAAATTACACAGATCATTGTATGATTAAATGTCAGAAAGATTTTTCCCCGCATAGTCAAAAAAAGATATCTTTTGTTCTTAAATTCAAAAATCTAGATTTACTCCCATGTCGTCCTTAACTCCACAGTCACTAGTGACGAGGATCCACTTAAAAATCCTGATGTCAGATTCTGATGTGACATCATCGCATTCTGGTGAAAAGGTTTAGATTTGATACCAGGTCCTGAGGAAGAAAACAGATGCAGACATTTTGTCAACTTTCTGCAGACCATAGTAAGAGTGAGTGAAGACACTTCAAAAATAATCAAATCAAAATAAACAATTTTGTTTCACCTTTGTTGACCTTGTGTTGCTAAAAAGTTTCCAGAAGCAAAGGGTCTCGTCTTTCCCTCCGGCCCCTGTCACTATCACCTCCCCATCTGGAGACATGGCCTGAAGAAGAAGAAGACGTCACGTCATGAAGACTGCCGCAGGAGAATGAAGACGACAGACTTGGACATGACAGGCACTGACACACAGACACTGACCAGGTGGAGGACTCTGTCTGAGTGATGAGTGAGGCTGGCCACCTGAGTGAGTGATGGACACTTCCACACCATCACTTTATTATCTGCGTAACCGTGGGTGCTGACCTAGAAACGAACAATATGAGACAAAAAAAAAAAAAAAAAATGAACAATATGAGACAAAAAAAAAAATCATCATGGCAGGCTAGACTTTCTGACAGTTCACAATACTTTATGAATGCCTTTCAAATGCCATTTTGAATTGCAAAAAAAAACTGCTATTAATCAAACTGCTAATGGTGACAAAGTGTCCAGTGTGTATCTGGAGTCACTCACCAGTTCATTTGTGTGTTTAGACCAGACCAGGTTGCAGACCTGGGAGCCCGTATCAACACGCTGCACTGGCTCTAACTGCAGCGAGCTCCAGATACGGATGCTGCAGTCTGCTGAGCCACCACCAGAGGCCAGCAGACTGCGCTGATGTGGAGACCAGGCGATGGCTTTTACTGCCCCCTGGTGTTCCTTGAACGTCTGCAATGGCATCGGAGAGTCCTGGTTCCACACCAGCAGCTGGAAGTAGAGATTGTCACCAATGAGCAACTGAGTACAAATAAAAAGCCAACTAAAAATTAACGAACAAAACTCAACCTTGTTGTCGTTATCACCGGAGGCCAGCAGCTTACGGTCAGAATTCCACTTCAAACCACACACTTCCCGTTTGTGTGCCTTCAGCCGTCTGACCGACTGCAGCGGACTGGTCCGTGTGTCTCTTTGAAGAATTGTGCAGTCACAGCTTCCTGAAGACAACTGGTCAGAATTCCACGCCAAGACTCCTGTGGACAAGCGTAGACAAAATATTATGTATTTTTATTTTCTTTTATTTCTTTTCTAACACTGGCTGGTGTATGAGCAAAAGCTCATACCAACTCTGTTCCTGTGTCCCTTCCATACACAGATCTTCTTTCCAGTAGCAGCGTCCCAGATCTGAACATATCCTCGGTGAGTCCCCACTGCCATAAGGTCTCCCTAAAAATATTTCAGTCATGAAAAACAGAATTTATCAAGGAGTCCAAACAAAATAAAAAAATGAATGTTTATAGAAGTCTCTGACAAATGAATGTGTCACAAAAGAGCCAGACAAGACAGGTTAAAAAAACAAAAAAACAAAACCAAAGTTCTGTGAGCTACACGTTTGTACCCTTTCAGTCCAAGCGACAGATGTGACCGAGTCTCCCTCCGGTGAAAGATCACAGAGTTTTACAACCTGAGGAAATTACATTTAAGTTAGAGCTGAAGGATGAGAAAAAAAAAGTTAAATGTACAGGTTTGTACCTGAGAAGTATAGGCACTCCACATATAAACACAGGATCCCAGCCCCACACCAAGAACGTTGAGAGACGACCAGTCCACCAGGTTAAGGTAGAAGTCATCCTGAAGACCTGAAGCATCCAGGACTTTAAAAGGACTCTCTGAGACTTTACGAGTCGGCCTCCTTGGTGCACCTAACAAAGTGTGACTATAGAGATGAGGTATATTGAATAATGTATAGTTACAGCATTTTTCCATCAAGTTTGTAAATGCTCGACCAGGCACTAAATCAATTTGGGCAGAATGTCAATATGCAAAACTGATAACTGATAATATCCTCATGACCCAAATATTTAAAAATTAAACTATATATGCTATTAAGTTAGTTAAATATGTTAGGTATAAATATCTATCCATATTTATTTTAAAAACTACATCTACCTCGTGTTGCTGACAGTGGACAGTGAGTAGGGAGAAATGTTGGCACAAGTTTCCAAAGACGGCCTTTTGGTGTGAGGACTATACTGTAAAAAAAAAACAAACCACAGACTTCATTCAATTATAACAGTGGAAAAAGACTGTGTATTGTGTATTAGGATGGTGTTAATAAAGGATGACTCATACAGAAAACAGACTCCTCTTTGGAGTTTGTGGTTCCTGGACATTTTCTATCCCGGCTCCCAGCAACTCATTTTTCAGCAGTGCTGTGTAGGTTAGTCCATCTGCTACATCCAAAAACAGAACGAGAAAGTATTAAAAACATAGGAAGGAAAAAAAAATTGTGAAAAATATTCCTCAATAACCTTTAAAAATTGACCTTTGACATTCCCTGGGGAGGCGTCACTGTGTGTTACCTTTTCATTTTCCTAAGAACACAATGAAAATGAGATGTTTTTTATTTGATAACAGAAACTTACTGATCAAAAAAAACCAAAAAAAAACAAAGCTTGTAAAACAAATTCAAATCAACATGTTTACATATATATAATATTCCTGTTACTTTGTTCCAGTGGAAGCTGATGTCCCAGTTGGCCCCAGCTCTGGTGGGAATAAATCTATCGCCAAATGTTCGGGATGAGAACGGGGAACTGGTGCCCGTCTGTCTGGGGGAACTCTGTACCATAAAAAAAAGAAAGAAAAAAAAATATATATATATATATTACTTTAGGCAATAATGTACAGTACTATACAAAGTATGGGAAGATTTCACAATTTGTAATTCTTTTCATCAAACAGTATCATCATGTCAAGGTTTCTGCTCCAGGACAAGAACCAGTCAAGCATAAACCCAGAAAATGTTACATGCAAAACAAAAACTTAATATTTATTTGTATATGTTGTTATTTGTTAAATGTATCACTAGAAGCTGATATACAGACTCTGCTGGTGAAAAAAAGGGCATCGCTTGAATTTCTCTTCATTTCTGCACCTGTCTGTCTCCCTGCTCTATCACGTTAAAGGTTGTTGGCTCCATTTATAATAGAACACCAGGTTAGAATATAAACATAAATATACATTTTTAAAATCAGGAAATACTCACAGCAGGGTCCGAGCCATTATTCTGAATGTGGATTTGACGAATTATGCGGTGTTCGTAGTCTGAGTTCATCTTTGGGCCCTTGACCTTACAGCTGCGAGGGGTGAACACCAGCCTGAGATAATTATAGGAAAAACACTCAACAATCAATAATACAAAATAAAATAAAATAAAATGTAAACACCATATACTTTAAGAATACTTAAATTGCCCTTAACTGTTGTGGAAACGTGATCCTTACTGTGTATTATCCCAGAAAGAGATGCTACTTTCAAACTAGCTAAAAGGCTAACAAACTAAATGAATTGTAATTGCAATTTTTAGTGTATGTTTTTGTTTTATCTAAAATAACTTCTCGCAGTCAAACTAAAGACCTCTGTGTTCATTATCACCACAAACACCTCCCTACAAATTCAAAGGGGAAACGTAGTCAAAAGACTCGTTAAGTCACGATGTCAACAGATTCTTTTACCTGTGTTCTTCTTCGTGGGAGATTCGTTATTTCGCTGTACCTTTATGGCAAACAAACCTTGTCGTTAACGAGTGAAGCTCCAGGAGAACAGGGAGAAAACTTTTCGCGTACAAATATAGAGAAAACAGTCCAAGTTCCAGGCGGGTTTCGCGCTGACTGCGAGGAAATTGTTCAGGAAATGAGTTTAATTTAACTAAGGTTAAAAAGCTGGGCCTCAGGCCGTTTGTCGCCTCCTTCTGGTCATTTGCCAATAGACTTAAAATTGTTGTGTTTGAAGAAAAACAACAAAAACGTTTAATTTATTTGTATTTATGTATTTATATGTCATTTATATTGTATATTTTTGTCTGTTTATTTATTACATTGTGTTTTAATGGGTGAACCACTTTTCGTTGTGTATGTTTTATTCTTAAACCAAACGTGAAATGAAAGATGAGTGTTTAAATATTACTCCTTAATGCCATGTCCAACAATCAAACATAGAGGGCGCCGTAGTTCTGTTGTCAAACTCGAGGCGGAGGCTCTCAGCTCTTTTAAATACGATCATTTATTTACTTTTTTTTACCCAAACTAACCCAATATCTACGTGTTTGCAGCTTTAAACGTAAAATATTTTTTTCAATAATATTTTAACTTTATGAAGTGTTTTATTTTTAGCCATACCAGCAAATGCATTTCCGGCCAGTTCCGAGATGGAGAACAAGGAGAAGAAGGAAGATTAGCCTGACTGTTGTGAACTATCTGTGTCGTAAAACTTGACATGGATAACATTTGAGTTGATCATTTATATATATTATAATATATATATTATAATGTTTTAAATTAGGACTTTGTGTTTCAAATGGGGGTGTAATGGTAAAGTTCTTAAGTGTCTTTCTATATATATACTGTGACACATTCACACATTTACACACACACACTGTCTGTCACATCTATAAAACACTGGCGCCAACATTCACCCCCCCCCCCCCCCTCCCCCTCCTCCCCTTTAACTGACCTCTAATTATGTCATGCGAAAAAGCTGTGCCCCATTCAAAAGCTCCCTTAATCATATCCAATTAATTCCGCTGTTTTACCTTATTATCCTCTGCAGGGAACGCGTCCTTCCAATAAGTCTGTTAACTCCAGCCGCGGCCCTTTCAGATCTGCTGGGGTGGAGGCACAAAATAATAGAGTGCACGATCGATCAATTAGTCATGAAGGGACTCTGTTGTCGGTAACGAAGTGAGTGTAAACCTGGTCACCGTCCTGCCAGGCTGACCTGCTGAATCAGTTCTTCAGTGAATGACAAAATACATGAACATGACATGAGGTTTTTGTTTGTACAATATAAACTTCTTGGACTCTTTTTGAGACACCTTCCAGGACCTGGAGGTTACCAAGGTTACCTTACAGGTAACAACAAAATGAAAAAATTAATAAATTAAATAAATACTGGATTGAATTCCAGCTCCAAAAGTTGGATTAAAAATGATTTGATGTTTTTTGTTTTTTGTTTTGTCACCTTATATGTATCCCCATGCTGTGGACTTTGGTTCAACGTTGGTCCAACCCCTGGATCTGGACCTGGACCTGGACCTGGACCAGCGGAGTCTGCTCTGAACTCATCCTGTGACACAGGAAAACGCTCTAATTGGAGGATTTTCTACATCATTGACTCCAATGAGCCACCACCCCCCTCACCCCCCCTCATCCCCTCCAACCTCCTCACCCCCTACTCTTCCTCCCCACTCTTACTTTATCTCTCTGTGCCCCCTTTTTCATTTTATTAATTAACAAACAAAACACAGTTTTATTTTTAGCATCTTAGCATCTTAGCAGCTCATGGCTACCTGCTGTAGTTAACATAACTAACAGACCATTGTTGTCCACTTTGCCCCCCACCCCCCCAAAATCATTTTAAGCTGTGTTTACTGAAACCTGTTCACGGCTCCATTAGTCCAGGACAGTTCTGGTCACTCTGAGTAGCGGTGAACATGTGTTGCAGTGGATGAACCTGCCTGCCTACATGTCTGTTTAGCTGCAATTAGCGGGTCTGTCCGGACCCTGTGGTCAAACACCCCCCCGACCACCCCCCCTCCCCCAGAAGCACTGATTGATTGGAGTCTCATCTTCCTAACAGCCTGGCATCCTGCCACGACACACGGAGAAGCAGAGAGGATTGTGAGGGAGAAGAAAAACCAAAGTGTTCTCCCAGAGACACGGGGCAGAAGTATTAAAGACTAAAGCAGTCTCAGATGATGATGATTATATTTTTATAATCTTAAATAGACTTATCTGGGTAAGAAAAAAGAAAGAGTGACTCTGTGGGAATAAGTTCACTGGTCGACATTCTACCAAACTAGATTTATTTTGACTTTGTCTTTCTGAAAAATCTCCATTGATGTAGGAGAAAACAAACAATAACAATATTCACTTTGTTACATTATGACATGAAATAATTAGAAAACCAAAAGAAATATTATCAGTGAAAAAAAATCTGTTTCAGTTTTCTTTATTATCGAGCCTTTGGTTTATTCTCTGACCAACATCGGTGAATTTATCCCTTGTTAAACACAGTGTTTACTGACTTTCGTGTTTTTTTATAACAGCTGAAAAACCAACAGAACACGACCGTCACTCCCCCTACTGGATCATCAGAAGAACCATTTTAACGACGCGGTGGTTACAGGGACATCTTCAGTCTGAAGTCTTTCTCCTCCTTCAGGTCCAGACAAAGACAAGAACTCACACCTGGACCAGTAACATCTGGACTAGTTTTTATACAGATGATAATATGCTCCTCCCATCCAGCTAAAAAACCTGTGATTGATCACATGATCAGGTGAAGGCGACGGCTGAACCATCACAGGTTGACTACACACAGTTTGATGATGTAGACGTAAAGATCCATCTAGAACTATACGACAGATCAAATCACGGAGGAGAAGCTACAGCAGCTCAGGTGTCATTTAAACATCAAGAGTTCAGTATTTAAAAAAAAAATAAATCCAACAAAGTTCTTCATTTTCTCTATATCATTACCATGTGTTCCAAACGTCACTCACATGGGTTGCCAGGTCTGAAAATTACATGGGTTGCCAGGTCCTGTCCATAGACTCGATGTGTTCTTTTGCCTTTATCCTCAGTGCAGCGATGCTGGAGCTGCGCTGCTCCATGTTCTCCACCGGGTCTTTATCAGGGTAGAGTCCAGGGAACTGATAAGGAGGGGGGGCCACACTCTGCATCGCCTGACCCATGGAGTGATGAGGGTGAGGGTGAGAGTGAGGGTGAGGGTGAGGGGCAGTTTTGAGAAAGTTGTGGCTCGGGAAGCCGTGCTGGAGACCCTGAGGTGGAGCCATGAAGCCGGGGATGCTGTGGACGGTCGTGGCACCGGACAGGGGGGAGGTCAGCCACGGATCCAGGGGGAGGGGGTTTGTCATGGGACCGATGCCGGTGTGAACTTGGGCCGGGCGGTTGAAGGACAACATGGGTGAGTCTTGGAGCTTCATAGTGCTGGCATCCAGTTTCTCCTGCCGCCGCCATTTAGCTCTGCGGTTCTGGAACCACACCTGGAGGGAAGAGTCAGAGGGTGGGTCGCAAGAGATTTCTTTTTTTTTTGGGGTCGTCTCACATCATGTTTCCCAGAAGTTTACGGATAATATCTATTGACTTGGGTCATGGAGGATTGTGACTTAAAACAGAAAAAAAAAGTTTGGAAGTTTGGAAAACACTGGTTTAAGTCAAGCAAATAAAAATGTTTTAATTCTAATTATAAAACGTACACATGAATGAAGTTCTGTTTTTTCCCCATTGGTGTTCTGACCTCCTCGTACCTGAACTCTGACCTCTGGGAGGTTCACCTTCATGGCCAGCTCCTCTCTGCTGTACACGTCTGGGTAGTGGGACTTCTCGAAGGCGCACTCCAGCTCGTGAAGCTGGTGCGTGGTGAAGGTGGTGCGGTTGCGTCTGTGTTTCTTCTTGGGCTGATTGTCCCTGGACGACTCTGGAGATCTGCCCTCGTCACTGTCCAGACTCCTGGTCGGTTCGCTCAGTTCATCTTCACACTTACTGGTGTATAAACCAGCATCTGTTCAGACCGAGGAGGTCGAGAGGCGTGAGTGAAGCCAAACATTGAAGTCAACATTTGACTGACAACAACAAAAGATATCAAAACCAACTCTCAGTCCAAACATTTATGAAGAAACTGTTTCATTATCGATGACTTTTGTCTTAATGAAACGTAAAAAACAGCTTCATTAACGAACGATGACTTTTGTCTTAATGAAACGTAATCATCATGTTCTTCTTCAGTTGACGGAGGTTTTATCACGCTCGCCGTCTGATTGGACGTCCAGACCGTCACCGTCCTGTCACAGTGTGTAACCCTGAGCTTGTTTCTGTAACCAGGAGGTGCCGAAGGGGAGGGGAGGGAGGGGTCACCGCGGGCTTTTTAAGAGCTTCGTTTATTCTCCGCTCATTAAGCAGCCATGACAAAGGCCAGGCGGGGACAATGGCAGAGGGCAGGTCTGGTTCAGTGACCAGCTCTGGGCTTGTCAGTCCAACACACTCTGAGGTTCCCCGCTGATTATGGGCCGGCAGAACATCAGAGTGCAGGGAGCAGGGGTCGAGTGACACCAAACACACTGGGAAGATGCTCGTTCAGGGGGAACGGGGCTGACTTCACAGCATAGTTCTGTACAAAAGGATGATGTCATCAGTGTTGATGTCCCCCGGTCCTTGACAGTAACGTTGTTCTGACTCAGCCTCCAAATCTTAATCACTTCACATTGTTTTGTTATGAAGTTATTTAGTTCATAAAAACAGATGAACCAAATCCTGAGAAAAAGGAAAAAAAAAACAACAACAACGACCAAAACTGAAAACTGTCACGTCTGAGGATAAGAGAAATCCCACGAGGAGTTTGGATTTCTAGACCAGGAAGTAAAAAAAAATTCATGTGTTTTATAATACTGACTAAGTGACATGTTTATTTTAAATACATGAAAAAAAAGCAAAACTCAAACTAAATCTTTACTTGTAAATCTCTGCTCTGACGGGACACGTTCACTGTTTTAGGTTAATTTATATGAATAACAATCTGTGGTGAACGCCTTGTTTTAAATCAACATTCAGTAGAAAATGTTTCTGTGTTCACGGTCAGCTTTAAGAGAGAAAAGTTGGGGGTTCGAGTCCCTCCTGGAGAACGTGACGTGAATTGAGCGGAAAGTGGAAATAAAAACCAAATCCCAGACTGTGACATCACTGGATCGACGAAGATTTTTGTCAAATATAAAACTTTTCTAATCTTAATTCAAACAAGAACTTTTAATTAATTTTTTAAGAACAGTAAATAATTATTTTTTAAATAATTCTGAAGCTGGTATAGAAACTGCGTGTAAAAAAGTATAAAAAAAACATTGATAATTTTACTCCTGTCCTCGTGGACTCTACTCACCATGAAACTGCTGCTGCTGCTGCTGCTGCTGATCCGTGTCGCCTTTTTTCAGTGAATAAAGGTTTGCGCTGTAAAATGGGTGTAAAGGTGAATCCTGCTCCTTCCCAGAATGCACCAGGCCTTCTATGTCCACTTCGTGAGGACCAGAAGTCCCGGCAGGACCGAGCAGCGGCTCCTGGTCTTTACTGAAGCCGAGGATGACGTCGATGCTGTGGACGCGGTTCCCCGCGGCAAAGACGCCGCATTTCCCCAGTTCCTGGAAGTTGCCGGGCGAAAGGCACCTGTCGTCCACCAAGCTCATGGCGTCCAGTGATAAATGCATTAGTTGGTCTAGGCTCCGTGTCGCACCTGAGGTCAGAGGTCAGAGGTTTAAGGAAAGGATCACCAGGTCACTTGGACAGTCTGTTCCTTCTTCATCTGAGAACACGGTTGTTCTAATCACAGGAAGTAATAAGGAGTATGAAATGTAGAAAACAAACAAACAAACAAATAAACAAACAAACAAACAAACAAATAAACAAACAAACAAACAAACAAATAAACAAACAAACAAACAAACAAACAAACAAACAAACAAATAAACAAACAAACAAACAAACAAATAAACAAACAAACAAACAAACAAATAAACAAACAAACAAACAAACAAACAAACAAACAAATAAACAAACAAACAAACAAACAAACAAACAAATAAACAAACAAACAAACAAACAAACAAATAAACAAACAAACAAACAAACAAATAAACAAACAAAAACAGCTCTAAAAACAGCTCTAAAATAATTACCTTTTATTTACAGAACTTAAATAGATTTCCTTAAATCCCTTTTCAGATGTTTTGAGTTTTTGTTTCACAGACCGACAGTCTGTCAGTAACATAACTTTTACCTCAAAAATTATTTTAATTGAACTGCAAAATGACTTCACAGGAGAGGATGAGGAAATCTGTTCCAGTTAAGTCGCCGGAGCCTCAGCTTTAGCCTCTCGTATGTACAGCAGATTAAAAAGTTGGCAGAACTTACGTCTCAAAAGTAAATCCGTCGAATCTTCACAGATCCCTGATGAAGAGCAGCAAACTATCAGGAGAGTTCTTTTTTTTTAAATTTAAAAAAAAAAAAATTTTTTAAATGAATTAAAGTCGATCCTACCCGCAGCAGAACCAGAGATGTTTCAGCTCAGAGAAGAGAGTGGAAGAGGAGGCACATGGAGAGGGTGAGGTGGACAAAGCCGAGGGTGGAGGAGGGGGGGGGGGGGGGGGGGGGGGGGGAAGGGTGGAGGAGGGGGAAGGCTGTAGGAGGTGAAACACAGGGATTAGGGAGGGTTGTTAAGAGGAATCTTTCCTCTTTAACAGTGATTGACAGCAGTTTTCTGCTAAGCTAATTGTTTCAAATGTCGTCTCCGTTCTCCCTCACAGCAGGAGCTCGGACTAATGAATCCTCAAATGTTTTCCTCTGACAAATGTTCTGCTTAAAAACAGACTTGTTTTCTAAAGTAGTCAAATTAGACTAAACAAAGTCAACGACAACATTTCACAGAAACAAATCAGATCAACTCAAAACAAAGAAACAAAGAAACAAAGAAAATAACACAAAAAATATATATTAAAATGAAATATAAATTACTTTTACATTAAAAAAATAAATTATTGCTGTAAAATGGTCACAAACCCAGAGCTCTGAAAAATAAATAAAACAAAGACAGAAGTCGTCACTAGTGCAGTGGAGCTGTTGATTTATATACATTTTTTTATTACTTTAGAAATATATATGTATATAAATATATATATATATATGTTTTTTTTGGCCTAGTGACATGATGATAATATAAGATCCAAAAATATTAATTATTTTATTTTATTCCTTTTTTTTAGTGACGCAAATTCTACTGTTGGTAAACATAGCCACTAGGTGGCACTAATGCAACCAACAAATGACTACAGGGACTTAAGTTAGACTTTTTTTTTAAGGCAGAAAGTGCATTAAAGTTTCCCATTAAAACATTTCCTGTCGATGAATAGAATTTCAGATAAATACCAGTGACTGTAGGCTGTGGCCCAGATTCATGGGCCGCGTGAGGAGCCGTGACCACGACACCATCCAAGTTCTTTGAGGTATTTCAGTCTTTGTATCAAGGAACGTTACCTCAACATTCATGCAGTTAGCAGACGCAGCATAGTTTTCATGGTTGGTGAAGTATTTCCCATCAGTCCCAGCACGCTCCCGCCGCGCCGCTCTGCTACATCCAGAGCGCAGACTCCTCGGCAGTCGACCGTCCGGAGTTTCAGAAACTTTTGTTTCCAACATGGTGAGTTCAAAGCTAACGGCCTGGATCAGCATCCGGGCTCAGAGCCGGTGGCGTTGCGGTGCTCAGACTCCAGTTTCTCCCTCAGTTTGTGGAAGGTGGGTCTCCTGCGGGGCTCCCGCTCCCAGCAGCTCCTCATCAGGGAGTAGACAGCAGGAGGACAATGTTCTGGAGCCTCCATTCGATACCCTGCCTCCACTCTTTCGTTCACCTCCTTCAGGGTCTATGTGATGATCAGGGAGTGATAAAAAAATGATGGAAAACACTGACACTTCTTCAAAAACCTTTGGTGTACGTTGTTAGAGAAACTAATGATATCAAGCGACGCTCGTTTGAAGCTCAGTGTGAACGTGTATTTTCTACTAAACAGGAGCAGAGATACTATCATGTAGTATATACAGTATAATGTAATGCTTCATGTGCACGGAGTTGAAACAAAGCTCAGAGAATGAGCCCTGATAGTAGGCTGTAATGAGGAGATAACGGTGGTCATTTAAATGCAGCGGCTGAAGCTCCGTGGACAGGAGAGATTGAGGTCACGGGGCCTGGGCTGCCTTTCCATTAATGCTGCCTGATCCCGCTGGACTCTCTGAACCGCGGGGCCGGGACAGATTACCTGGGGTCACGGAGCAGGGATTCTAAAGGTGGACGCGAGTCAACCGAGGGACAACATTTGTTCTAAGTCCTCAGGAAGTGGTAACGGCCTGCAGTGCTCGGACTCACCACTGCTCAGTGTTGCGTCTGAGCGGCGGCGTCCGATGCGTTTCCCGCCCCGGAGATCAGTGGTTTATTTCTGACTCGGCAGCAGGTAGTGACCCGTTCTGTTAAAGCTCTATCCTGTACTGACGCAGTTGGGTGATCTGGATGACCCGGAGCTTTTCCCTGCTTTAGCACAGACACACTGTACCACGGCGTGAGACGTGAAGCCTGACAGGATGTGCTCACGCTGTTGTGTAACCTGTAATCTAGTCACTCTTTCAAAGGAAACAAAAAAAATTGTCTGTGAATTTACTACGACGACGTCAACCACGAGGGAACTAAGAAATACTTTGGCTAAAAACTGTGGCTTCACTTCCTGCTTCAGTTCACCTGTCATCTAATTATTCTGTTCTGTCCCTGTAAAAAAAAAGGTCAAAGGTCACACATTTAAAAAATGTTCTTTTGAACTTGATGGAGCAGCGTTAGCATTAGTTTTCTTTTTAATTATTATTACATTGTTCCAGAAGGCTGTAAAAAAACAAGTAGCTCTTCCTAAAACTATGTACTACTACTACTACAACAACTACTACTACTACTACTACTAAGTAGTACTACAGAAATGTTGGCGACCCCTGCTCTACATTCTGTTTTTTTTTTTCTGTTGTTTTTAGTGGCGACCCCTGCTCTACGTTCTGTTTTTTTAAATTTTTTTCAAACCTCTTTTATTGTGACAGTCTGTGTTTTTTCGTTTTTTAAAGTTTTTTCGTTCTCATTATTTCGGTAAAAATGAACTGTTGTCATTGTTACGTACCATTTTAGGATACGGCTGACGACCGTACGAAAACATCTCCCACAGTAGAACGCCATAACTCCAAACGTCTGACTTTGTGGAAAATTTCTGTGAAACAAAAAGAAGAAACGGAGCGACTCTTATCAACGACAGGAAACGGTCAGAAAAGAACAGATATCCAGAGAGCAGCCGTTCAGTGGAGGGAGGGAGTCAACGCTGACTCAGACAAGAAGCGTTCAGTGGAGGGAGGCAGGGAGTCAACGCTGACTCAGACAAGAAAAAAAAAAAAAAAAAAACTTGTAATGACAAATTTCAAACTAAAGATTGGAGTTAAGGAATCACACCCAGGTCACATGGTACGCACTCCAAAGAACCAAAACCCCCAAAGTTTTACTGGAAACTCCCAGGTGCAGTGTGATACTTTTGGTTGTTTTTTGTTTTTTTCTTCCTCCCGAGTTAAAGAAATAAACCTTTTCTTCTCTGTGTAATAATTTTCTTGAACAGAAAAAGTAAGATATTTGATTTGTTTCTATAAATATGTTCATTCTGGCACCTGAACGATGACAATAAGTTTTAATTATTTCTTTGCCAAAACTGGCAATGTTATTTTTTTGTTTCACTTTAGCTTCGACATATCTGCTAAAACAAAGAATTCTGTGCCGCTGACGTTGTCTTTGTCGTTCAGTGATCCTGCCATTTGACCGTCATAACGTCAGTAAATAATCACAAACTTCAGTTATTACCAATCAGGATATCTAGTCGTACAGCGGGAGGTAGAAACAAAAACCAAAATGGTGAGAGGTCGTGGGCGGAGGAGGTTAATATCAAAACCAAAAACCAAAATGGAAACAAGAGAAAAAGTAGAAAAGTTCTTCAGACTGACCTCTTTCCTCAGAGCTTCAGGGGCCGTCCATTTGACGGGCAGTTTGACATTGTCTGACACCTTGGAGTCCACCTTCGTCAGGCCGAAGTCACTGACCTTGGCCACGCTGTCGTCTGAGATCAAGATGTTCCGAGCTGCCAGGTCTCTGTGGACCAGCTTCTTGGACTCCAGGTACTCCATCCCTTCACACACGTCGCTGCCGTCACAGGGAGGAGGAAAAAAAAAAAAGTCTTTCTTTGGAAATACTCCTACAGGAATACACAGAGTAATGTTTTATCAGTTTAGACTTACAGTGAAAAGCGGAGAAGTTGATCAACTTTAACAACCAAACGTCCCCTGGTCCGGAGGAAATTGACAAGGTTTCCCTGCAAAATAAATGAGGTTTTTATGAAAACAAATATCAGTGGAATAAAGAGTCAAACACTGCACAGCTTTGACTCAGTGTCAGCAAAAAATAATAATCTGACATCTGTCAGTTTAAAGACGAGACAAAGACGCAGGTTGTGAAAAACGTCCCCTAGAATTCTACACTTTTAATTTCTAACCACGCCCCCTTACTTGGGTACATTAATATTCTCAGTTTTTTCTGCACCTTCATCATGAGCTCTGTGACAATATGAAGGCCCTTATGAAGAATGACGCCCAACAACATGACCAGGTTTTTATGCTGGAGCTTCCTGAAAAAAAAAAAAAAAAAAAAATCAAATGAGACGACATTTTGATGAATACATTTCTGTGTCACTGTCCTTGTTACGTTTTGATGAATACATTTCTGTGTCACTGTCCTGAAACTCACGTCATAACTGCCGTCTCCTGCAGAAAAGCCTGAGCTCTGACGTCACATTTAATGCTCTTTACTGCCACTCGCTGGCCCATGTAGTCCCCTTTATAAACAACTGAGGTAGAGGTTCATGCACATTAGTCACTAATTAAAAATTAAATGAAATTGAATGTGATGTTTCGACTCACCTCCATACTCTCCTTCTCCTATCGTCTCCCCCAGTTTGAGTTTGGTGATGTCCAGCAGCCACCCAGCTGTGGAGGACGGTGACATTCATTATATTCACAGTTCATCTGTGTAAAACATACATGTAGAGTATATGTCTATACTCTACATATATGTAAAACATACATGTAGAGTATATGTCACGTACCCTTGGACAGTGCCAGCTCCGCTGACTTTGCTCCATGTTTTTCTCTGGGCTTCAGGAGAATGGTAGAAATAGAACCTTTATTCTGGGAGTAGAACTGAAAAAAACAAAAACAAAATAAAAACCACAAACACAGAAACATTACTCCAGTTGTCCTGCACCGTGTCCATCTCATTAAACTTTAAACTTTCTCCACAACCCTAACCCTAACCCAACATTTTAATAACTTTGTATAACATTTATAATTTTTAATTTTTTTTTTACAAATTTAAACATCGTTAAAATGTCACCAAAAAAAAGGAAGTCGTTCACTGTGGCTCAGCGAACACCCTGGTTTGGTGAGGCAAGATAAAAGAAAAAAAAAAAAAAAACAAAAAAAAAAAAAAAAACAAAACAAAACAGCAGCAGTCGTACTACTATACTCTCTTTAAAAAGTACACCAGTACTTCTTTTATTTTGACTATCTTAGCAGATCTTAATTGTGCCTCCAACGTAGTTTTATTTTCACAGGCGTCCTGACATGTGTCAAGAGGAAGTGTTCAAAATAAAAGAGTTGAGAACCTCTGGCCGTTCTTCATACAGTTACGTTTCAACTCACTCCGCAGCAGCAGCAGCAGTCGTACTACTATAAACAGACTTCCCCTGGTAAGACTTCCTGTCTGTAGTTTTAACTTTGTCGAACTGATCGACACTGTGGGTGGCATAACAGTATCTGGACCAGAGGTTGAGCACACCTGAACCAAACCAAAGGTTCAGGGTTTGGGAGGAAGAATTCAAAAGTGAGCTGAACTGAACTGATCTTAGAGTTCTTACAAAACTGTTGTTGAAATAAACGTGTGAAATCATCTCAACTTCCTGTCAACACATCATCATGCTCACAGAGATCAAAACAACCATCAAGGTTATTTGGTCTGAGCAAAAATTAATCTGACAGCGACCAGTGTGTGGGTGGGTGAAAGTTTTTGATGATACATATCTATAAAAACAAATGTTGCACCGTTTAATTTCTCACGCCAAGGGCAACACCTGAATCCCCCTACGGAGAATTAAATTAAATTCTTTGAAATTCATAAAACAATTTTTAAAAAAATTTTTTTTTTTTGGTCGGAGCCGATGCTTTACAGTAAGAAGGTCGAGGGTTCGATCCTGTCACTGACCTCACCGAGTGTGAATGTGCGGGATTTCTCCAGGTACTTTCCACAAAACTCAGGATTAGTCTGACTGTTCACTTCTGACTGAGCTCAGGTGTGAATGTGAGTGTGAATGATTGTCGACAGCTGTCGGTCTCTGACTGTGACTACTGTCTTACTTCGATCATGTCAATCAGGTTGTAGAAATACTTGACGTTGTCGATGGTCAGCTTGTTGTCCTGATAAATCACGCGGTAGTGGTCGACCTCTCCAGAGACGCTGACGCACAGGACGTAGTCACCGGGATGACGGATGGACTCCCGCACCAGGAACAGGCCGTCCTCAGGCGGCTGCAGCTTAGTCACCGCCTCTGGACCAGAGATCTTTCCGTGGAACCAACTGATGAGAGAGAGAGAGATCACACCATGTCACCATGACGGTTCTCGACGTCTCTCAGAGATTATGAATAAAAACAAACACCTTTGTGTTTATTCATAATAAAAAATAAAGAAAAGGAAGTGAGAAAGATGTTTATTCTTAGAATGTTCTCACTTCGAAGCCACAGCGTGAGAGGATGTGACCACAGCCACACTGGCTTCCCAGCAGCACAGAGTGTAATTCTAGAAACAGAGTAGACCAGTGATTCTCAACCACTGTGCCGTGTCACTTAACTGGTCCCAAAACTATTAATTATTTATTGCAAATTATTTTTTCTTTGTCAATGTGTGACAAACAGAGCAATTAAATCTCCTTCTGCTAGGTGGCAGTAGATCTGTCAAAGGCGATCTTTGTGAGTTTCTTCAATTCCTGCCAGTATATTAGCGTTTTAATCAACTCAACAGGAGTACATTTTTAGTCAATTTAAACTGAAATATTATTATATTTCACTACAGCTATAACTTTGTGGCGTTGTACTGGAGCAGACTCACGGCATGAGGCTGAGGCTGGGGTCGACACGCAGAGCTTGACGCTCACGGACATTTGTGCCGTTGATGAGTCCTTCCACTCCTGTGCTGTTGTGAGTTGCTCTGTAAAACCCCTTCTTCTGCAAAACAGACATCAGTCTTGGTCACTCATGCAAATCTAAAAAACGGATGATCAGAGGAGAGGAATCGTTAGAAAAAGACAGTACCGCGCTGATGTCAACGATGGTGAGGATGTCTCCTTTGTGATAGGAAAGTTCCCCAGGTTTGGGTTTTTTGTTGTCCGTCTTTGCTACGCACTGTGTCCCAGCGGTCCAGCTCATCTGCAGAAGCAGAGTTGACAGACATAAAAGGTGGGAAACAGACTTCATTTCTATCTTTATTACCACGTTACAAAGTCGTAATCTGCAGTGACACACCACAGAAAACACAAGACACGTGTCCAGGTTCTACTGTGAAACACTGACAGCAGCACTTACCCTGGTAGTGGACAGATCCCTGTCATCAATAACAACAGACAAAGAAAACAGGTGTTGACAAAATGAATGATCAGTACAAACCAAAGACAGTTTAGACGTGGACTACCTGCAGCTGTGTGGACAAATGCAGTCTGTCCGCCTCCTCGTCCTCACTGATAAGAGTTTCACACTGTCACATGTCTCGCCTCGTCTCTCTCTCTCACTAGAAAGAGTTTCAGTTAAACCCCCCCCGGGAAATAATGTGGTTGCGTCGGTGTCCACTAACGCATCTGAGCCTCGACGCAAGCCACTTCCTCAAAATTCAGAAAACACTTCACACAGAACACTTCTCCTTTTCTCAGATTAGTCATAGTTTAGTTAAGTGGAAATTGTGGCAGAGGGAGAAAAATGAATCCTAACATATTCAGTGAAATATATTGTTTAAATTTAGTATTTATAACTGATGATGTAAGAATTCTTTCTTACATCAGTACTTCTGCAAAAAGTCAAATAAAAAAACAACAAAGCTATTTAAGGTCAAATTTAATCTTCTCACATTAATCAACATGTTAATTTCAACAGCCATAATTCATCAGACACAAAAAGACACAAACCCAGAGGAGCGTTCAAGTGTTTAATTGTCTCCCCATTACTTTTAGGCAAACATTCAAATAAGGACAGCCACACTTTCCTTTTAAACAATATAAAATAGATAAACCTTCAGGACAAAAAAAATTAAATAGGAAAAAACAAAACAACTTACAGTGTAGGGTGTTAATAGGAAAATTAAAATGTCAAATGATGTCAAGTCTACTTTAATGCCGGAGTTTTTGAAACCCTGTTCTGCGTCTTTGTAAAATTAAATAACTACTACACTTGTCCAACACAGGCCAGTTCCCCGTTTTTCAAATCTTCTGTAATACACACAGTTCAGGAACGAGGAAGCAACCAACAGCCTGTCTTTTCTCTTTCTGTCTGACTCGGCTCGGCTCTCCGCACCCTAGAAGAAGAGAGGTCGCTGAGGGTCACCCCTGAACTGTGGCTGCACACACACATATATTTACCACTTAGTTTAAGTGCTTCATTATTACCCCAGCAGGATCTGCCCTCCAGTCTGAGACACTGGTCGGACAACGGTGCACAAAAACAACGTCTGTGCTGTTGTTTCCTTAAATTCAAACAAAATGCTAATGACACAGATAGAAAGGAGGAAGTTTAGAGAGATTTCAGGTCACTCTTGCTCTTGCATTTGATTAACTCCTGTTAGTTTAAAAAAAACAAACATTTCTAAAGTAAAATGTCAAAGAAGAGCGGAGAGTTCAGGGGGAGAGGAGTCACGTCGTACCTTCTACTTTCTTCTGTGTCACTTTAGGCACGTTGAACACCACAGTAGTGAGAAATATTTGATTTGAAACAAAACTCTTGTCTGTGCTCAAACCACGTCAGTCTTCTTATATATATATTTGTCACAGCTTCAACAACTCAAATGTGTTAATTCTCTTTAAGAAAAAAAAAAACCCAAACAAAGAAACCTACCTCCTACTGTGTGTGGAGTGTGTTCTTCAAACTGAACTGACCTGAAGAGAAGAAGACTTTGGTTTAAGGTGCTAAAGGACAAGGGCTTTAAATGTGTTTAACAAAACAACAATACCATAGTAGATGTGACGTCTGTGAGAGAACTGATGTGAATGAAGGGTAAAGCTACGGTCAGTCATCGCTGTGCAACACTACGGTGGAATGAAGTCACTTGGTTATAATAATACACATTAGACGTCACTACGTCTGCAGGAGTTCTGTGGAGCGACCTCACTCTTCAGTCCTGCCCTTCATCTCTACATTGTTCCTTTTAAACCTACGTGTGTGTTTGTGTGTGTGTGTGTGTGTGTGTTTGTGAAATGTGACTCGTAACCAGTGTGTTACGTAAACTCCTCTGTTCCTCCTCTGGAGGAGGCAGAGGTCAAGCGCTCGCTGCGTCCTCCTTCTTATCTTTTTTGCCCTCCCCCTCGTTCTCTCCCGTGTCGCTGACGTCACGTCTGCGCTTGCGGTTTCGAGCGCTGGCCTTGGTCGTCGGCAGCGAGTCCATACCCAGAACCTTGTGGATCTGACGGAAGGCTAGCAGCCGCAGAGCGTGCTGTGAAGAAGGAAGAGAGGTTCAGACGTACTGTCAGTCTGACGAGTTTGTCGTGGGAGAGAATCATGAGATCGACACACGTTTCCGTCAGAGTCAAAAGAAAGATAGTTTCAGTGTTAAACCGACCGCCTCCACTGTATTTGGTTAAAAATAAAAGACTGAAAAACTAAACTTTTTTTTTAACATTTCACCTGTGCACTGGCAGTGATGTCCTGTGTTCACCTGTGCACTGGCAGTGATGTCCTCTCTGGCCTGTATGGTCATGGTTTCCAAAGCATCTGTCGGATCTTTCTCACACGGGTCCATCAACCCTGGTCCGTCTGAGGGAGAGAGGGGAACCAGAGGTCAAAGGTTAAAAAGAAAATATAAATTATATTTAAGAATAATATTCATAGAGAAAGATATTAAAAAAAACATTTTGTTTGAGTTTACTTTGGTGCCAAAGATAGAAAGACACGTTTCCAGTCTGACGTATGTTGTGTTAAAACAGTACTTCTCAAACAGTGGGGCGGGGGCCCCCTTGGGGGAAATGCGGTGAGGTGCCAGGGGCCACGAGGGGTTTAAGTGTACCACTGCTGTGATGACTGAATGATAACAGGCCTCCAGTCACTAGGTGGCAGCAACTCATACAGTGGTTTGTACAGATGGGCATTAATAGAACTTCAAAATTAAATATCTGGTGTCGAAATGTCTTTTTGTATTTCTCTAACCTGGGAGCAGGATTCCTGTAGAGATGCACTCCAAGACTCTGCGCATGGCCTCCCCTGGACTGAGTGGAGGACCTACAGCGCTGCTGATCACCTTCTCCACCAGCAGCTCCATCGCCTGGTGACAGAAAAACAGAGCAATCTCAGTACATTATTAAAACGCCACAAACTTAAGCTCGGATAGAAAGACTAATCATCTCTGGCACGGACGCAGTACATTCATCATATACTGCGATACTAGAGACGTGAGGATATATTATACAGATGCTTACCCAGCTGGGCATCTTCCCCCACGTGGGCACCCGCTGACACAGGTCTCTCAGCACCCTGATGATGATCACGCAGGACTGCAGCCCGTTGGCACGAGCCTTTGAGAATGAAATGAAATGAATGCAGTTAAACAAGTGAGATATCTTTTTGGACTAAAACAGACGATTGGAATTAGAATTTGATCTGTTGAGGAGAAACACACATGGTCGTAGTTTACCACAGAGTACTGCAGTAGTGGGAAAAAAAATTTTTTTTTAGTTCAGTGATGAATTTACCTGGAACCATTTGGCGTGACGGAGCGCCGCCAGGTATTCAAGACATTTCCTCTTATTCAGAAGATCAGTGGGTTCCCGCTCAGCGACACCTGCTGGAGATAACATCGTCTCATGACAGAGTTCAAACTTAAGCACAGTTTGGTTTATGACAGAAACGTCTACTAAAACGTCAATGTAGCTTCGCAGAACGGGGATTTGATTCGATAAAGCAGCAGCTGTTGGTCGATTATCTGATGTGACCCGCACACGTCTCATTGTTTGTTGATGAGACGAAAGTCTCTTAGAAAACGCACACAAGCGGTTTGTCAAGTAACTTTATCTAAACATCAGCAACTATTTCACAATACTTTTGGTTTTTACATTTACTTTTTCTAATGTTGTCAAACTGACGCATCAGAAAATGATTTATTCTTCACATGTGATGTGAGCAGTGACACCGGTCACTCAGCTTCATGAAATACTTACAAGGAGAAATGTTTGACTGTCGTACACTTAACGATGGTCTGAAAGTAAAATGCATTTTACAAAAAAAACAAAAACAAATTTCATCTGATGCTTAGCTTGGCACGAGGTAAGTCCCGTCAATTTTATCTGAGACAAAAATGTCTCTGCATCTACGTTGTTTTAACGTCTTGTTTTTTGTTTCTATAGAATTTGTGAAATCCTGAACGCCACATTAGCGAGGACGCCACCAAAAACAAAGGATACAAAACTAACGAATTGATTTGATTTGCATTCAAAGTAAATGACTTCTGACGAAGTTCAAAGTCTTTTGTTGCATAGAACGTTTACTGTAAGTGGTTTTGAGAGAACGGAGTTGGTTCACATCTATGTCATAATCTCAGCACAAATTTCCTTTAGTCACAATTGCACATACTTGTCAATCGTGCAGCCTTAACGTACATCAAGACAACATAAATTAATACAACAACAACAACAAAATAAAAAGAATCAAACGTCTGGGACTAGTTTAGTCCACAGTCGGTCCTCTACAAGGAAAATGTACGTGGACAGACATGGGACACTTTTTTTTGTCACATTAAAAAGCGACAAAACGCAGAATTTGGCCAACTGAGATGGGCGGTGAGTTCACACCCTTAGCTGTTGGTCTTTCCACACTTCCTCAGTCACTGGAATTGCAGTAACATTAGAAGACAGTCGATGTCTAACAACAGAAATACAAAAACATGAGGAGTAGTTTGAAGTCTACACTATCATACCACTCAGAATCCAAGACCCGGCTCCACTGGGCAGAGCAGGAACCAGTCATGTCAACACAACTGAAACCCCCCCCGCCCCCCTCCCCTTTGTGTAGGACGAAGAAGAGGGCGGTCCTACAGCGGGAACGGTCCATTACTCATTTCTATTCTTAGTGGTATGTGAACAAGTGTGGTCTTCAGATTAGGCTGTGACTTGCTTAGGTCTGCTGATCCAGATGTCGGGACACTGGTCAACAAACCCAAGCAAATGTGAAATATATAAGAACAAAACATCTACAGGAAGTCACGTTCTTAAAATTGGAATTCAAACAGTGAAATACTGACAGTGGTCGAAGAAGGTGTTTGCAACGCAGTGATCAACGCGTTGATCACTGCGAGGCCGTAAGTGACTTTCCAACACCATGTCAGTGATAATGCAGGGATGGCAGATAAGGAAACAGGAAGTCGACGGACCTCAATTTCCCGATACGAATTTGCCCCGCCCCCAAAAGCAGTGAGAAGCGAAGGGTTTGACTCACTTTTGAGTTTTTAAATCACACACTTTCCATCACTGGGCATTATCTCAACAATGATCAGCACTCCAGTCACCATCTGTCTGTTTTCTTCCTTAAGAGGCTTTATCTGAGTGTGTGTTCATAAAATAAACACACACACACACACACACCATCACACTTGTGGCATAGAAAGGTCGGAGAGCCCGGCTTTTGATTCCCATGGTGTAAAAAAACCCGAAAGAAACTGAGAACTTATATATATATAACTAGAAAAAGGTGGGGGAATGGATGCAGCTGAATAAATAAAAGTGGTCTTTGATCAAGTCCCACTTGTCATTGTGTCGTTTTTTTTTTTTTTTTTTCCAGTTATAACATTAACTTTTAAAGGTGTGACTGTGAAGCGAGGGGGTGGATAAATACCAGGGTCACAGTATACGTGTATGTACAGTGTGTTACACACAAAGCCCAGAATTTTCTGGTACTGAAAGCTTTGGCTTCTCTAACCTTTCTCAGCCGGTTTGCCTCCCGCCTGCTTGTCCTTGTCAGAAGCAGGGTCCTCCCTCATCAGCGGCGAGGTGAGAGAAATGGTCACCTGCATTTTGGGCTCCTTGCTTGAAAATATCAGGATGTTGGCCTCCTCGGGGTGAGCCTGCACCTCATACTGATCTTCAGAAAAAGTCTGCCGGTTAAAAGGACACTTGAGATTACTCACTACAGAGGAGGAGTGTCGGGGCAAAAGGTGGGGCAGGAGATGCCGTGTTGGTCGAGGCACTGGATCATTTTAACTCTTTTGGAATGACTTGGATTTGTGCTTCATCCTTTGCATTATTAGCAGTATCTTTAACAATGTTTTGAACATGAACAAATGGGCCGTTACGGGGGACAAGTCCTCAACTCACTCTGTAGGATTCAGGTGTCATAACCAGGCAGTAAATCTAAAGATCAGTGAAATGCACCTTTAATCAAACACGTGTTACAGCAGCAGGGGGAAGAGGTAAAAGTTAAAAAAACAGACCTGCCCTTGTTTTTGGGCAACAAACCTTTTTTTTTTTTCCCTCGACCTGGAATAGAAGTTTAAACAGTACTGTTCAGTCAGTAGAACAGAATTTAATACAATCTGCTCTGATTTAAAGTTGTTTTCTTTATCCTAATATATTTGAGAGGCTGCCCCCCCCCCCTTAGTTAAAACAACATGACTCAGTTTGTCATTATCCTGCTCCTACGACCCAGGTCACAAGGCAGTGGATGACAAACACGATGTTCCCTTTTTTTTTTTTTTTTAAAGTCTACAAAACCACAAAGTAAAAAAATTCAACATGATCCAAATAACAAGTGGAAATGTTTGTGTTACGAAATCAACCTTCCTCAAAACAGCTCATAAAGACAAGAAAACAAAAGACTTCTTTATTTGACTTTTTGCTCGGGGGCGGGGAAGGGGTTTTCTTACCGACAGTTCTTTGGGCAGTTGCTTCACGATGTTCTTCAACAGAGAGATGGTTGGTTTCTTAGCGGTCAGAAGAATGAGCTCCACGATTCTGTCTCCACGTAGCAGCAGGCCTTTGGCCAGGATTCCAACCCTCATTACGCCTTTTAGCAGCCGAGACGAACTGTCAGTACTATTAGAGACGAGAAAAAAAAAAAAAAAAAATCAAAGATAAAAGATTTACAATCAAAGTTTGTATGAAGTCAACCTTAAGGGGCTCAAATACATTTAAATTTTTTTTTTTTTTTTTTTTTTTTTTACCCTTTGTCATCTCCTTCAGCAGCGTCACTGGCAGCAGCTGTGTTCTCCTCCAGCAGGGAGTCAGACACCAACTTCAGTGCTCTCTCAGTGTGGGAGACAATCTTCTGCACAGCCTGCAGCTCGTCTTCTACTGGGTAGATGGTGGAGTGTCTGGCCATGATGTGACGATCATCCAGTGAGTCAGGGCGACGCACGCACGACTGTGGGGACGATTGACACCAGAACATCAGGCGTTAAATCAGAAGACAGCTTTGTTTCTACAGTGATAGTTTTTTGTTTTAAATCTCACCAGTAGAGGGGGTACTGGCATCCCAGGGCGGCTCATTAGAGGTGGAGGAGCCATTCTGCGCCTCTGGTCCCCCCAGTACATTTGGTCCTCCTCCAATCTCCTCCAGTACATGTCCTGCTCGTAACGTCTGCAGAGGAAACATGTTATTAAAAAAAAAAAAAAAACATAAAGTATCTATAAATAAAGCACAAAGCTACAACTCTAATCTTGCCTTCCTGTAAATCCATATCTGACTAAAAAGAATTGCAGAAATCAGGTGTGACTCTGACTTCACACGTTATTTTGAGTACATATACTTTAATTAGAAATACATAGACTAGTCAAAAGGAAGTGATAAAAATGTGTTGTTGTGTAGATAACTAAACAAAAAACTAAAAAAAAAAAAAAAAAGTTATTTTCATTTGGCAAGAACTCTGTCAACAAACCGTTTATTTAAAGACCCGTCATTTACACTGGAGTAACGTGAAAAAACCCCTCAGCTCTCGAAACAATTTCCATCATGTGAGTTCGGAATTTCCCATTTGCTCGTGTTGTCTTTGAATCCTTCTTCATTTTTGTTTCCTTTTCTAGTCTAAAGTGTAAAAATGTGTAAATCTAACGACAGAGAAGGATCTGACTCATTCATTTGTGACAAAGTTTCAGGCCACAAATCTGACCTCATCTCCAGGTGCCAACGCTGCTCGTCGTCTATCAGTCTCTTCAGCACCAGTTTGTGCTTCTGCTTCTTCAGCTTGCTCTCTTGCAGTTTCCTGGCCCGGTTACTGGGCTTGATCTCTACAGGGAGTTCAGGGTTGACTTTCTTCTACAGACACACAGGGCAGAGAACGATCAAAGAAACCTGACAGAACAATCATGACACACTGGTCAAATACATGTCAGTCAAATGTAGGTTCTGCCCTTTGCCACGTATTTTCTGAGCATGATGAATGTCTGCAGTTGGATGGTCTCAAATATTGGTACTTGTCGCCACCCAGTGGCAGCTGTCATTAAAGACAGGATGTCAGGCAGCTTGTGTACAGTATTAGTCTGGGGATCACAGAGTAGGACGTGAAGTGCTTGTCTACGTCTGGTGAAAGTTGTGTGAAGGTTGTTTCAGGCTACAAGTGCGTGGTCCTGGTTAACCAGGTGCCGAGTGTCTCACCTTGTACTGAAGTCTGTGCCTTCTTCCCTTCAGGTGCATGTCTTTAGCGTTGGGATCATTAAAACTGCATTCACAGAGTTTACAGTGAAATCTAATCACTTTCCCATCATCGTTACAGACCTGGAAGAAGAACAGAAATTGAAATAATTAAAGACCTGAAAAGAAAATCATGACCGAATCATGATACAAAAGCTTGGATCAGTATTTGTTCATCTTGAGGCTGAGGTCATGTTTTTTTTTTTTACCTCCTCGACGTAGTTGTCCCACTGGCTGGACGTCACCTTGGCCACTGGCTCTGTCTCCGTCCTCATCGTCGCTCAGAGACTCCACCTTCCGTATAGACTGGACACTGGGCACCTCCACCTTTGGAGCCACAGCTGCAGGTTCAATCTTCACTGCTGGGCTGCTGGTGGGTTTAGTAGCTGTGAGAGCCAGAGGTCAAATATTAGACAGAAAATCAAAACCAAACTGCTCATATAACTCCACTCCACTCATATATTTAACACTTATATATTTATCATCCGTTTTACAAATCTGTGAGCTAAAATACTAAACGGAACAATTAACATGGAATCAGACCACTAGGATCTGGTTCTCTACATGATTTCATCCCAGATGTCAGTAACCTGGTGCTGTAGTGAACAGACCTAACTCTGCTATATGTAAACTGAGCCATAAACTTGATAAACTTACAGGTGACAGCAGTCTTGGGAGGAGCAGGAGTCAGTTTCTTGGCTGGTGGCGCTGACTTGGACAGTGTGTTCACAGCCACCTTTGATGCCGCAGAGGCAGCTGAGGCGGTGGACACCGAGGGAGACGGTGCAGTGGACACTGCAGGTTTCCCGGCTGTTGAGGTCGTGACAACTGGAGTGGAATTCACCAACACGGGCTCAGTAGAAGGTATAGGTTTGCCCAGCTTGGTGTGGAGTTTCACCACCTTTCCAAGGTTGACGAGGGGAGACAGAGAGACAGGCACTCAGTCAAAGCTGATGATATTCAATCCCACCCTAAGGGAGGCTTCATGCAAAACTTGAAAATGTGAAACATTATCATTTGCAGAAACAAGTTCTGCCATGACTGACTGTACTGTGAATTTTAGTAACTTTTTTTTTTCAGCCTACCTTCTGGTGCTTGGACCCACGGATATGGGCAGCGTAAGCATCCACTCCAGTGCAGGCGACGTCACACAGTTCACATCTCAGCTGAGTCTGAACGCCTCTGCTCATGTTGTTAGTCCCCGTCTGTCCCCCTGACTTCAGTGTTGCCTCCTTCTTTTTATGTTTCTGACCCTCAAGGTGCTCCCTGTATGTCTGGGGCAGTTAATCACAACAGTTAATGAGCTGAGGATAACCAACATAAAAAAAACACAACAGAAAAAGTCTAAACATTCCATAATAATCCACTTTATGTCCCACCTGAGGACCTGCGCAGCTGATCTTGCAGATGTCACAGTAGTGGAGCTGCGGTTGCTTTGGCGGCCCTTTGGGCTTCTGCAGCTTGTTCTGGTGAAAGGCCGGCTTTTTGTACATGTTTCCAGCTGGGGCTGTCACCATGTTGCTCCCAGAGTTGCTCCAGGAGGAGCTGGTCAGTTGTTTGAGTGGAGGGTGAATGGACGGCTTCGGCTGCTGGAGTTGTTGCTGCTGCTGGGGCGGCTGATGAGGAGGAGGAGGATGAGGCTGCTGCTGCTGTGGCTGGGCGAGAGTCTGCTGAGCAGGCTGGTAAAAGGAAGGGGTGGCCGTGGAGGTGTAGCCAGTCGAATCATAACTGGAATAATTTATGCCTGAAATTCAGAGAATAGAAAAAGAAATGGAGGTAAATAGGGAATGGCAGAAGCTCTGATCTCTGAAATGCGGTATGAAATAGTCAGTCCATCATCATCTTCTTTTTTTTTAATACCCGGGTAGGAGGTGGCGGCAGCTGTTGAGCTGAAGGTGGAACCAAGTGAGTAGGATGAAATGGTAGTCTGAGGCTGTTGGACGCTGGTGGACACCGGGTAGATGGTGTAGCTTGAGGACACAGGGCTGACTGGAGACAGAGTCTTCAGGGCTGTGACCTGCCTTTGAGGAAGAGGAGGCGGCTGACTGTACACCGTGGAAGGTGCTGGACTGTAAGCACTCTTCACTCCTACTGAAGGGACAAGAGGGA